AGCGTTCCTTCACTTGACACTTGATTCCAGAGCTTTCAGATCCCCACATTAGTACTTTGTAATGGGTTTCTCTCCTCTTTGGACAGTCTAATTATAGCAAAATGATAAAATCAGGGTTTTGAATGAGGCAGTTGATAGAAGTTATTGATCACTGATTTATTGGGATGTGTTTGCCATTTGCAAGTTAAAAACCACTGGAGCCTTTTCGAAAAGCCTTCTCAGAGTCAGAAACTTGCGTTCAGTCCTGACCCGAAGACTTCATAGCTCTGGGACCTTGGAAGAGTTTTGTAACTTCTCAGAGCCTCAGTTGTCTCCTTTCTAAGATGTCATCAAAATGCCCACCTTGAGGGACTCCTGTGAGGATTGAATGAAAAGATAGCTATGCAGGTGCTTTGTAAACCAGAAGCTCTGTCCCTGGGGTTACAAACTGGTGGCCAGAGGGCGGAATCCTGCTGATAGACACGCTTGTTGGCCATGTCATGATGGAAACATTTGCAATGAGTTTCCCACATTTAAAAATTGGTAGATCACAGAAAAACCCAGATTTGCAGCTCCCCTTGACAAATCATGACCTGTCACATGGGGCCGGAGTTCTGTGACCTGGTCATTTGGCTGCAGCTGGCATGTGCCTCTCTCCAATTCTGCTGGGCACCTGCAGACCCATTAAACCCATTTCTGTTGCCTTCCTGGCCCTTTAGGCACTTGTGGGACTAGCTGCTGCTCTCAACAGATTTGTTACTATTCTGGTAGCATTGCTTATACTTTTGCTGGGGGTATAGGGTTGATAATGAGATGAAGGATAGCTACAGTGCCTGCCACCTCACTAGGTGGCCTGTGCCGTGCTACAGCCCTTCCTCAATAGTCTCTGGGATTCCCCTTGAAGCCCTACAAGGTAGGACTCATTGCACCTTTTTCACTTAGGGAATCCTAGAGCTGGAGAGCCCGTGCAGCGTGCCTGAGGTTGCACAGCTGGTAAGTAGCAGGGCTGTGCTGCTCCAGAGCCTGTCTTGCCTGAGCTGAGCCCGAAACATTTGCAGTGTGCCTTATTTGTTCAAGGTCACTGAGCATTAACAACCCTGTATCCTTCCTTGTGAGATTCAGTGTCAGTAATTACTCTGCAGGTGCTGTAGGATGTTGAGCCTGAATAGCTAGGGCTGAGAGCTGAGTGAACTCCCAGGTGATCAGCTGGGCCACACGTTAGCCGTTCCTGCTCTGACTCGATCTAGCGTGAAGATGACTATCACATCCCAACTTTTACCTGGTTCAAATTTACTTGTTTCCTTTCAAGTCACAGCTTTTATTTTTGAAAATTTTTTTTATTGGAGTAAGAACACTTAACATGCGATCTACCCTTTTAACAAATTTCAAGTGTACAATATTGTTGACTATAGGTACGGTGTTATATAGCACATCTCTAGAGCTTACTCATCTTGCTTAATTGACACTTTATACCCATCGATTAGTAGTTCTCCATTTCCCCCTTGCTCTAGCCCCTGCAACCACCATTCCCCTCTGATTCTGTGAGTTTGGCAATGATAGATACCTCACATAAGGGAACTCAAGCAGTATTTGTCTTTTTGTGACTGGCTTATTTCACTTAGCATAATGTGCTCAAGGTTCATCCATGTGGTTGTGTATTGCAGAGCTTCGTTCTCTTTAAAGGCCGAATAGTATTCCATTTTATGTACATAACACATTTGTTTATGCATTCATCTGTTAATGGATAGAGATATTCCCACGTCTTGGCTATTGTGAATAATGCCGCAGCGAACATGGGAGTGCAGATGTATCTTTGTGATAAAATAGCCTAGTTAGAAACAGGATGTATCATGGGAGTGCAGATATACCCAGGAGATCATATAGTAGTTCTATTTTTAGTTTTTTGAGGAAACTCCATACTGTTTTCCATAGTGTCTGCACCATTTTGCTTTCCCACCAACCATTTATTTGCAAGGTTTTGTGGTTTTAGGGTTTTTTTGTATTTTTTTCCAATTTTTTTTTTTTGTAGAGATGGGGTCTAAGTATGTTGCCTGGGTTAGCTGGACTCCTGGGCTCAAGCGATCCCCCTGACTCAGCCTCCCAGAGTGCTGGGATTACAGGTGTGAGCCACCACACCCAGCCTGCAAAGCATTTTTTTTTTTTTTTTGAGACAGAGCCTCGCTCTGTTGCCAGGGCTAGAGTGCCATGGTGTCAGCTTAGCTCACAGCAACCTCAAACTCCC